TACATGTCAAATATGAAAGTCCTATCTCTTCTCAATGAAAAGTTATAAGGAAATATAACATTTTTGAAAAGTAGGTTAAAGTTCAAGGTCAATGTCACAGAGTCAAAAGTCATGATATATTTAGAAAGGTCTTGTCACAGGTAATATACATGTATAATATGAACGCCCTATCTTTTCTCTTTCAAAATGATCATTTAAAATAATGTTAAATTTTTTGAAAAGTAGGTCAAACTTCAAGGTCAAGGTCATGGGTTCAAAAATCATGGTATGTTTAGAAAGTTCTTGTAGGTAATGTGCATGTGAAATATGAAAGCCCTATCTCTTATTATTCAAAAGTTATGACCAAGGTTAAATTTATTGTGACAGACTGACAGACTGACAAATGGACGGACTGACAGACAAATGAGATTTAATGTCCCCTAGGTCCCTTTTGTGAAAACGGACGACAATAATGCCCTTGCTGTTCATGAGAAGATTTATGATGGAAAAAATCCCCTGCATTTTCCTATGTAAATCATTGGATCCCCATATGTGGCCCCACCCTACCCCAGTGGGTCATAGTTTTAACAAATTTGAAGCTACACTAAGTCTATGTAAAGAAAGTTTCAACTTTTTGGGCCCAGTCAGTGGTTCTTGATAAGACTTTTTTAAAATGATACCACCAAATTTTCACTAATTCTTGATTATCCCCCCCTTGAAAGAGGGTGTGACCCTTCACTTGAACAAACTTGAATCCCCTTTACCCGAAGATGCTTTGTGGCAGGGTTGGTTGAAATTGGCCCAGCGGTTCTAGTGAAGAAGACAAAAATGTGAAAAGTTTACAGGCGGACAGATGGATGACAAACAAAATGTGATCAGAAAACCAGAAAAACTCAAGTAAGCTAAAAACTGATGATCACAAGTACTTGGAAAGAGTTACAGTATTTGAAAAGCAGTTTTTTTTTTCATGCATTGTTTTCAGAAGCTGAAAAGGTATGACTTATATCATGTTGAAAAAACTTCACATTTCAGAAAACAGTATGATTAAAAATAGTTAATTAAGGTGCTTTGAGTAGCAAAATAAGCTAAACTGGTATAGCTAATTCAACCACAGAGCTTAGTGAATTTTAAAATGCACAACCTTGTTGTTTAATGTCCCTCTTGGGAATTTTTCACTCATACGGAGACACCACCACTTAAAAATAATGAAGACATACAAGTCAGATTTGAGGTTAACATTCATTTTAGGAGTTTTCAACAATTAAGACGTAAAGAGATAACTCCTTCCCCTTGCCCCTTCCCAGACCCCTGTTTGTTCATGTATGCAAACTAGTCTAATACTTTGGTTTGACATAAAAAAATGTGAATATATACAAATAGTTTAATGGTCCATCTCTTTGAATGATTTTCATTCCTAATTCGAGGAGGGTACATGGGTTGACCCAAATTCATGAATGAAATGTCAAGTAATCTTATCATTGATGCACTTTTATTTAATTTGATGTAGTCATATTATGAACATTTCCAGTTCATTAAGAGAGTGGGGATGACCTCCAGGGGTTCATAACCTTAAACCATTAGATGTACATAACATAATAACACAAGAAACAAAATTATGTATAGTCAAATGGAAAAGTTTTCTACTATTCAGGAGTCACATGATCATTTGTCATTTCAGGGACAGGAAGCAGCTAGGGGGATTGGAAGCCCCCCCCCCCCCCTGGAATTTGCAGAGTTATTTAAATAGGACTATATACCGATTTACAGAAGCAAATAAAAAATGACTTTGGATGCCCTCCCCCTTTAAAAACATGGACCCCACCATCATTGTTTTTATTTTGTTTGTTTGTTTTTGTTTTCGTTTGTTTTTTTTTGTTTTTTGTTTTTTTTTTGCTTCTCAGGAAATTCTGCGCTGGAATTTTTTTTGGACTGAGATTTGCCCCCCCCCCCCCCCCCCGGAAAAAAATTCCCGGATCTGTGCCTGTAACTGAATGTAATGTCGACAACGGGAGATAACTCTTCTTCAGAATGCGAAATTCGTCTATTGTGGCATCTGATCCCCTCTCTACCATCGGCTCATACATTCAGAAACGAACGACAACTCTGCATAGGAGATTGCCGATGATCTTTGATCCTTTTTAAACTTTAACCTAACTATTTGCATTTCGGTTTATTTTACCCCAATCTAAACTTAAACTTGTACTTACCGACTGTCATAGGTCCTGTCAACTTCATGAAATATAATCCAATTAAAACACAAAATGAATTAATTTCCACTGATATACATGTAACACTGCACCATGTCACATGGCATGTGCAATCTAAAAATGATAATGGTAAAACTAGTACTCGCACTGGTAGGGTGACGCAAGCCCAATGTGATGTAGAAATTTTCAAAAAGGTGTTCACATACATGTACAATACAAGAACAAATTCTAAATTATCATAACAAACGATGTTTTAACATAACTTTGCCATCTAGGCCTATTTCCAAAAACAGGCAAATTGTGTGTGTGTGTGTGTTGGGGGGGGGGGGGGACAAAATTGATTGGGTATGGCTTTTCAAGGAGGTTTTTGCTTAATCAAATACTAAAAAAAGTTTGCACATTTTGATAAATTCATCAAAAACGCTTTGTACTGAAATAATATTATTTGTTGTTGAGAAAATAAATTTAAAAAGTTCCAATTATGGGCCAAAAATTTATATCCCCCCCTTTTATCAAAATCTAATTTACATCATTAATTAAATTCTGTTATTTCAGACTGGTAATGAATTAAGTATATGAAATGCGTATAAGAGGTTCATGGGTCACATGGTCACCTGAGCATTTTATGCTCGATTTGACGAATACATGTACTGTGTAAATTATAGAATTATTTGGACTTTTTCCTTGGTAAGCCCAATATGAAGGAGTGTGCATTTAGAGGCAAACACCTTAGTGCGGGTATTTCTGTCTCATGACAGCATCTAGTTCATACTTATTGTTAGGTCATTATTTAAGCACTGAATTGTCTACGGATTTTCCCGTTTGTCCGATCATGACAATGACCAGTCAACAGGGGATGCTTACTCATCCATGGCACCTGATTCCACCTCTGATGTTTTTAGAGGTCCTTGTTTGCTCTGCTCCCGATTTGTAATGTTGCAATGGATTTTTGAGCTTGATTGCTGTTCATTATCTCCATATTTCATGTATTTAAATGCATTATTTTCATAAAATTAATGTTTACTTTCCTTCTGTTGAAAATAAATGGGAAAAAAGAAAATCCAATATGGATTGGTTGATTGTATGTTGTTTTACGTCCCATATATAGACGTCTAAAACTCGAAAATAACCCTCTAAAATATGAGCAACAATGCAAAAAAAAAAAACTGCTTTATTATCAACAATCATTTCATACCTTTAAATCTTGAAGCTTTAAGTTTATTTGCAAATGAAACGTGAAGATAACAATCAGAAAAAGTCCAGTTAAACAATGAAATGTGAAAATAAGAAAAGAAATCAAGCTCAAAAGTCCGTTGAAACAATACAAATTGGGAGCAGAGCAAACACAGACCTCTAAAACATCAGAGGTGGGATCAAGTGCCATGGAGGAGTAAGTATCCCCTGTAGACCGCCGTGAGCTTCTTGTCATGATCGGGTAAACGGAAAAATCCGTAAACAATTCAAAGTGAAAATTATGGCCTTACAATTTGTATGAAAAACGTCATCAACAATCGACTTACCGATAAATCTTATTTGCTAACAAGTTCATAGTATCAACCTAGAATTTGCGAATGTTGACCAACTTATTTGTAAATAGCTTGCCTCGTTTTAAATATTTTTCGTATGTAGAACATGCTCTCGTGTATCGAATCAACTTGGAGACATAAAGTCCATATGAAGGTGATTGTGGTATATTGCATAAATAAGAGATGACGATAGAAAGTTGAATAAAACTCATAGCAGAGCAAACACGGACCCCTCAGAGCTGGGATCAAGTGCAATGAGGAGTATGCATTGCCTGTCAACCGGTCACACCCAATGAAAGCTCTTTGTCATGATCAGATAAAGGAGAAATTTGTACACATCTTAGTATTACCAAAAAATTGTATGAAATAGGTTAGTCAACATTCAACCTAACAACAGAAAGACAGATTGTATTTGCAAATAAGGTCATTGTCTCGACCAAAGAAACTGCGACATGTTGACTTTAAACGAGATTGTTGATAAACCCTCCTTATTTGTCAGTAGCCTGCTTCCGTGTGGAAATAAATCGTATTGAAGACAGACAAAGACAATATTTGAATTTTTATTTGAAACATTAATAATTTTTTTTCGATTGATTAGTTGATAAAAGATTTTAATCTGATGCAAAGTGATACATCTATTTGAACTAGTTTTGATTCCAAGGACTATAATATAATTTCTTGAAGAAAACTGTTGTAACAAAGGACCTTTCTGTTTGATCACATTAATTACAAGTCAAAGTCGTTCTTTAGTTCATGGCCGAGAGGTTCAACAACCAAAAGATTAAGGATTAAATGACGAACGAAATGAATATGTATTATGAATATTTGCACACAAAAGGAATTAAACTAATACAAAAAGAATAAAAACTAATCCACTGTCTATAGATCCTCTATATATACACCGAAGAGACACCGAACCCCTACACAATAAAACTCAGAAATTCCAACATCTAATCATAAATTATATTTTTAAAAAAATGACGACATAGATAAAAGTTGAAAAGTACATTATGTTTCAGAATATAGATGGATTGTTTTTTCAATAAAATGAAATTGGAGAGATGTATTGTTTGGAAGATGGTTGTTTCTACAAACACCCGACATCTATACTAAGAAAAAGTACTGTTAATGTTCTTTGTTATATTCGGAACTGTGTATATGTGAGAACAGATTTTTTAAGTAGTATATCTTACATCTATACTAAGAAAAAGTACTGTTAATGTTCTTTGTTATATTCGGAACTGTGTATATGTGAGAACAGATTTTTTAAATAGTATATCTTATTTAGATATACGGCTTGTCAACGGGTCCTCGGCTTATGAAGGACGGGTTGAGGTGAAATTCAATGATGTGTGGGGAACTGTATGTGACGATTACTGGGATAACAATGACGCTGCTGTCATCTGTGGGATGTTGGGATTTTCAAGGTAACGTCTCTCTTACAAAAAATTACTATATCCTAACAAAAAATTACTATTGTTAACTATAGTTTACTATAGTAAAATATAGTAAATACTTTGATACTTATATTAAATTTGAAACTTTTAGTTGGATTTTTTGAAGATTTAGAGCCTTAATATTTCGAAAAATAGATAGCAACGATATAAATTTTTGGAATAGTATATAATTATGCATGTAGTATTTCCTTTTAATATAAGAAAATTGCTTGTAGGACGTTAAAAAAAATGAAACATAACGATCTGAAATTCATAGTAAAAATACTTTGATCAACTTTAGTAAAAGCTTTGATTTACTATAGTGAAACTTTGACACAATAGTAAACTATAGTTAACTATAATTTACTATAGTACTTTTTTGTTAGGATAGTGAAGTATAGTTTACCATAGTTAACTACAGTAAATACTTTGATACTTTGATTTACTATGAAACTTAACTCTAGAACTGTTTTGAGATTTAGGGCTAGAATATCTCCACAGTTGCCCACCAATGATATAAGTTTTAGAAATAAATTTTAATATACAAGTAATACTTCCTTTAAATATATTTAAAAAAATGCATGTAAGACTTGGAGAAAATAAAATAAACCATTTGAAATTCATAGAAAAAGTACTTTCATTTATTATAGTAAAACTTTGATTTACTATAGTAAATAGTTCGATTTACTTAAGTAAATACTTTGATACCATAGTAAAATATAGTTTATTATAGTAAACTGTAATTTACTCTAATATATTTTTGTTAGATAGTTGATTTACTTTATACCGTTCTTCTTTTTATTTCAGTACATGTGCGTGTATGTTGAATAGAAATAGTAATTCCAATAACGCAATTTGTACAGTTATAAATATAATGAAGCATGAAAAGAGTTTCATGCCCCTTTCTACATATCTTATAGGGATCGACTCGTTTTTTAAGTACCTTAATAGAATGAAACAGTTTATTATAGGTGCCTGCAAGCAATCATTTCATTAGATTCATCCTTTTCTTTAGATTTCAGACCTTTAACATTGATTATGTATATGTGTGAAATTCTGTAAAGTTTATTCTGAATTCTATTCAAAAGTTTGTTTTTACTTTTCTTAAATATTGCTCTTAGGAAAAACGCAGTTGCTAAGAGGAGTGCTTTCTTTGGAAAAGGAAAAGGAATTATCTGGATGGATGATGTAGAATGTGGTGAGGATGACAGAAATATAGCGCATTGTAAAAAACCGAAACTTGGGACTGAGAATTGTATACATAGTGAGGATGCAGGAGTTATTTGTGTACCAGGCAAGTATTAAATAAATTTAGCTACACGTTTATTTCCTTTTTAGCGATCACATTCTAAAAAGATAATACGATCAGATACACCTTCTTTATGCTTCTTTAATCTTTATGCCTTAAGGCCTAGCAATTCAAAGGAATTTGCCTAATTCAGAACAAAAACTTTTTAAAATAAACACACTTCAGTTTGTATTGAGCATCAATTGACAGTCGTAAATATGCGGAGAAAATCTAATTCTATTTCCCTTTTAAGTAATTTTTTTTGACATGTTCAAAATTTGTCAGCAATGTAGGCATTTGCTTACGATTCCTTGTCGTAGGTTTTTGTGTGATGCCTTAGAACGTTCTACTTTTGTTAATGAGAGACCTACGATTTTAAAATATGTGGTTTTTCAATGTACGACAGTCTTTTTGGGAGCCTCTTTGAACTTTGACAGGACTGACATATTTTTTCACGACAGTCGTACATGTGCAGTTACCCACAAAATCTGTGTTAAAACATAGTTAAAGTGGACTAGTCACTCTCACTGTTTGACTTAACAAAGAAACAGAAGTCTAAAAGACGTGTTAACCAATAACTCATGTGTTGATTACAGAATGCTACCATGCATGTTTTGTATTTTCTCCGATGGCGTTAAATGTGTTAAAACGTTAGGTAATATATTCGAGGGACATGTCGAATTATTCCCTATAGAAAGAAACAAATGTAAGACAAAGGAGTTTTTTTTCTGTTTCAAAGAAAGCACAGTGTGAATAATAAATTATACTTTTAGATAAATAACGCCTGGAAACCAATTGAAGTCACAATTTTACAATATAAAGACTAATGTAGTGCACAATAAACGGAAGAAGTATTTTCATAAAAATGAATGACAGTATTTCCACCTATTACTATATTTCATTTAAAGGAATCACTTAAACCCCGTTATTAGCGGACCTTTTTTGTATTCATATGAAGCAGAATTTGTCCAAAATCTTGTACGTGAAAAGAAGAAAACACTTGCTGTGGCCTTCAACTCGACATTTAGATATATCGACGACGTATTGTCAATTAACAATGGCTATTTCCATTCTTATGTCGATACGATATATCCTGGTGAGCTTGAGATAAAAGATACTACAGAGTCTGACACATCTGTTTCATATTTGGATATTTTACTTGAAAAAGACGTTAATGGTAATCTAACCACCAAGCTTTATGATAAACGTGATGACTTTAACTTTTCAATCGTCAACTTCCTTTACTTATGCAGCAATATACCTTCATCACCTGCACGGGGTATATATCTCTCAGTTGATTTGATACGCAAGAGCATGCTCTACGTATGTACATTTTCTGAAACGAGGTAAATTATCGACAAACAAGCTGATGAAACAAGAATATCAGCTGTCTCGTTTAAAGTCATCATTTCGTAAGTTCTATGGTCGATACAATGACCTTGTCAGCAAATACAATTTATCATTGAGTCAAATGCTGATTGACGTTTTTCATACTAATTGTTAGGCCATTATTTACACACTGAATTGTCGAAAGATTTTTCCGTTATTTCCCGATCATGACACGGAGCACACGGCGGGTATGATCGGTCGGCAGGGGATGCTCACTCCTCCATGGCACCTGATCCCACCTCTGATGTTGGAGGTCCGTGATTACTCTGCTCCTATTTTGTATTGTTTAATGGACTTTTGAGCTTGAATACTGTTCGTTATCTCCATATATTTCATTACATGCGTGTTCTACATGTACATCATAATAGAAAAAAAATGGCTTTGGTCACATTCATTGCTTCTGATGATTTTGATGCGGCAAGTTAACCACAAGAAACATTACGCATATTATCTTACGCAAAACTTACACACGGCACACCTCGGTCGATTCCTACCTCATTAAAGACATCCGAGATTTGCCAAATGACAAATTTGAAAGAAAGTTTATTTCCGAGTACATTTTGAGTGCGAAAATTCTGTTTTTGTGGCTTCATCCAAAAATGAAACAAATTAAAAAAACTCTCATGATTTTGAGGGTAAATGAGATGTAAAAAACCATAATGTATTTTCTTCTCTCAAACCTTAGTCAGTAACTTAAAAAATAAATACCGATAATAAATTCCAGCTGGTGTACGATAAAGGATGGACGCTTATGCTAGAACAATTGAACGTGTGTTGGATGAAAATCGAAAATTTTGCAATGTAAAATGATGTTTAAGGTTCTTGTAAAGATGTGATCAAAAAAATTAATAGCATTATTATGCATTATAAAGAATTGCTACAAAGAAAGGTGTTGAATCCAAAAATGAGATGGAAAATAAATTAATTATAATCATCAAAGTATGTATACATTCAATACAGAAAAAATCAGACTTGTAAATGGATCATCGACCACTGAAGGCCGAGTGGAGATTATGTATAGGGGTGTTTGGGGATCAATTTGTTTTGACGGTTGGGACGATAGAGACGCTGCTGTTGTCTGTTTAATGCTTGGATTTTCAAGGTAAGAGAGAGAGAGAGAGAGAGAGAGAGAGAGAGAGAGAGAGAGAGAGAGAGAGAGAGAGAGAGATTCTCAGATTTTAGAAAAAAAACTTAGTTCATACATGTAAGTATCTCAAATAATGCTACAGTTTTTATGATTTAAAAAAAAAATTAAATTTCATTTAGAAAAAGATCGACAGCAGAGTCTTTCAAAATAGTTGGCCAGCAAAGCATTGCCGTTTGGATGTCCGACGTTGAATGCAGAGGGAGTGAATTTGATATATTTCAATGTAATCACTCAACATTAAGACCCCAGAAATGTAGTCAAAACCAATACGCAGCAGTCAATTGTACACAAGGTTGGTTGTATTTGCAAAAGCACTATGGATTGCATTTTTAGATGAACAGTATCTTTCGCTTCTAATCAGCCTTCATCGATCATTTTTTGTGAAATGTGTAAAACTAACACACATTGGAACTTATTCAATACATTTTAATAATCGTAAAAATGGTAGTTTATACATGAAGAAGGTGAAGACAACGATTAAAAAATCCACAAACAATATAAATCCGCCCACAGCTCGTAAATCACGGACCCCCGGAAATTTCAGAGGTGGGATCAAGCATCCCCTGTTGACCGGTTACACCCGCCGTGAGCCTTATGAACATTCCGTAGTTAAATTTAGTATAAACAAGGCCTAACAATTGGTGTGAAACACGTCAGCCAAAACACGACCCAGTGATAGGTTATATTTGTAAACAAAGTCGTTATAATGACCATAGAATTAACGAAATGCTGACTTTAAACTAGGTTGTTGAAATCACTGTAACATCAACTTATCTGTCAAAGGCCTGCCTCGGTTTAAAAATTGATCGTATTTAGATATTTCTCCACTTATTTCATTCAGAGCATGCTCTTGAGTATCGAATAAGTTGGGAGACGTAAACACAATTTTCAGGTGATAGCAGAATATTACTAAATAAATAAGGAAAGTTGACAATGAAAAAGCTCGTTTGACATCTCGTTTGTCTTGTCATACAATTTTGTTGCTAATTGGCCTTCATAATCTATAGTCAGTAAAACATCCAGATATGAAACAGATGTGTCAGACTGTGGTATATTTTATTTCAAGTTCACTGGGATATCTCGAGTCGACATATGAATGAACGTAAGAATTGTTAATTGGTAACAATACTCTAAAATTAATTGGTAACAAATCGTCGTCGATTTGTATAACTGAACGTCGAGATGAAGGCCATTACAAGTGTTTTCTTCTTCTCAGTAGACGTTTCTGAATAAATTCATAGGAATATAATAACAGGTCAGCTAATAAGGAGCACAATTAGTTCCCATGGGAATATCAACAGTTTGTTGGACGACCTGGTCTCCGAAGACTACATTAATGTTGTTCGTAAGGAACTCCAGTATCCCTTTAATATCAACTTCAGAGTACTTTTTGTAGAATCAGAGTAATTTAAAAAACTATTAGCAAACTCCCAGATTACTCTTTAATACATGCCATGATTTATTTTCAAAACTTGATACTGAAGATACTTTAAAACAAAATTTCAAAATAAGTATATTCTGCAATGTCTGAAATACTAGTATCACGAAATCAAAAACGTTTTTGAAGAAAGCCTGTTGTTTGAACACAAACAATCATAATGTTAGTAAATTTATATTAAAAACTGAAACTTTCTTTTACTCTAAAAGCATCTGATATACGAATTTTGTTTCTGATAAGGAAATAATATGAAAAATTTGATTAATGTGCAAAATTAAATTTTCTGATCCAATTGGGGAAAAGTTTTTATAATTCTAATGACGTTTCCAAACATAAAAATGATTGAAATATACATGATCTTCAACTGCAATTTTTCCTCTAAATTAAATTGTGTAAAGAGATGATAACTGAGGAACTGTTTGATAGTTACCTGTATACTCTTTAACTTCTGCGTGTCAATAAATACGAATCATCAATAAGATTTTTGCATCCAGATAAAATAAGACTGGTAGGTGGTCAGACACCAGCGGAAGGACTAGTGAAGGTTTTCTATAATAGTTCATGGGGAACAATTTGCGATAACAAATGGGATGAAAGAGATGCTGCAGTTGTTTGTTTCATGCTGGGATTCTCAAGGCAAGTGTTTTATTCTTGTGACACCTTTGACCTAGCTAATAATCTAGCTAATACTATCTCATATCCTAATTATAATAAATTTGAACAAATAGAGAATGTATATGTTTCGATACAGAAAGAATGCTACAGCCGTTACCTCTTCTGTATTTGGGTACGAAACTGGAAGGATCTTGATGAATGACGTCATGTGTAATGGTGATGAAGTGGATTTGTTTCAGTGTAACAATTCATTTTTGAGGATAAAAAATTGTGATCACAGTAAAGACGCTGGAGTAATTTGTTCAACAGGTTAGTGACCTCTCTCTATCTTTGTCTTATAAATTATTAGGAAAAAAGTAATATTATTTATCGGTCCTCTGACTTTGTAAAGAAAATGCATAGTGATTTGTTCGTACCAGAATCCTAAACAGAATCTTTAAAAAAAAAATGAGCAGAGCAACGATAAAAGATAAAAAAAAAATTCTAATCGGACTAACCAGTAAATTATACTTGCAACTGTTCGTTACAGGCGTAGACTTCTTGTATTTAACTATTAGAACTGTTAAGTTTCTTGAAAATCATTTTATGTCTTTTCTTAGAAAAAAGTTAAAATATTTCAGACCCTTCCTGTTAATTTAATAAAGATTAGATTCTCCTGTGGACATGCTGATGAATGTATCATTGTCTCTCTGTGATTAATCCATAATTTAGAACAGGTAGCAAAAACAATCTTTCATTTTATTGTACTATGAACAAAAAACAATCAGGTAATGAGGTTTTAATTCATTTTGTATCAGCCTTAAGTTTATACATGTACTCCTGTTTATTACATACATAGTAATGAATACATTTTTTTGCCTATGCGATATGCCTGACGTCACAATAACCGTATCAGGTTCCAGGATTGATAGGATCCTGCAGGCCTTATAGGATCTGAAGGGTTGATACGGATATATATATCACATCCTTTGTGGTTTAAACCTTTAAAATACAGTACTGATATTACAACTTTGTTTTCGTTCACATTCTCTTGATTTTAAATTACTATTCTTTGATGTAATAAGCTACTAAGTGATTATTTTTTGTATTTACTCAAGTATATGTGTGTTGTATTTTACATTAACTACGTATGTAATAAACATATTGTATGTCACATCCTGGGTCAGCCTTCGATCAATATCAGCACTCGGGCCTTCGATCCTCTGGCTGATATTGGTGCACGTGCCTCGGGCTGATACAGGATGCAGTATGAAAAGGGTATGTATTATTCTCCATCTTGCATCATTAACGCATCCTATAACAGAGGCCTTGAAGTATAGAGAAGTTGCCACATATTTTGCATTTTAATTCAGTGTATAAAGTTGCAGAACAAAAGTAAGTCAAAGCTCTAGCAGGTCAAATTTATTAGAAATATTAACATATACTATACTTAACTCAAATTATCCAAAGTAGATTATGGAAACATGAAACTTTGGTGAAATATTTATTCTTGTTCGAATAAGAAATCGTAAAATATCTATTCTTTAGTTTCAGATTTGGAAGAAGCTTCGATAAATTCTTCGGAAAATTCTATTTCCAAAGTTGAAGATATAACACACATCATATATATCTCAGTTTCTGTGGCGGGAGTTGTGGTGCTCGTTGTTTGCTTGGTCAAAATGGCACACAAAAGAAAGGGGAACAAAAGCAAGCAAAATTCTGAGGCAAATGTAAAAAATACGCATACTCTCGAAAACCCCTCTTACAATATGCCCCTTTATGAGAACAATGATAATTCAAAGCAAAATAAGGTATGCGCTATTTAAAACAAACAAAACTTATTGTATGATTTTTTTCCTATGAGTAAAATATTTTATAATTTAATATTTAGTTTGTTTGATCGAATTTTTTTCTTGTAATCTAATAATCAATCGTGAAACATATGATATTACATAAAAATAGGTGTTATATATAGTAAACGTTTTATTCATATTTTAGGCAGCTCATACGTCGTGCATGGCGGATTGTGCAAATGAAGACTATGAAGCTATTTTGGAAACCTGTACCGATGAAGATATTTACACAACAATTATTTAACGTTACTATGCATAAAGTACAGTTCTATGATTTTTTATTAGTCTTCCTCACAAGTGCCTATATGATTAAATACTTTAATTCAAAATGCATTTTTCATATCAAACGTAACTATTTCATTTACTCATTATTTTCCATTCGTCCAACGAACTATTCCTTCTGTGAGTGTCTCGATGAAATATTTGAGAATCATCAAACAAGTTAATCTATGTTAGAAAATACTTTTTGCATCCGAATATAGATTATGAATTGGTTACAAAAATTTGAAACTTAAGGGCATAGAATAAAATTATGCATGGGAAAATAGTATTTTTCAATTTTTAAATCACATCACTAATAACTGGAATAATTTGTGTGTGTGTATGTTTATGTGTGTGCTGTGTTGTATTCTAAACTGAAAAAAAGTTCAAAATCCCTATGTTTCATGAATTCACTCTAAAATTTAATAAAACTTCTATGAGACATCTTTTGCTGTAAATTTGGTGAATTTGAATATTTATTTCTTTTACAACTTTAACAAATCACTGTATGAAATGCACTAAGGCAATCCATACTTAGATTTAAAAGAAGGTCAATTTGAAGCAAATTTCAATTTTTTTATGTTGAATGTTGCATAATGTCTGATCCATGCATGCTTTGATGAAACATTGTCAATGATGATTAGCTGGTATATTTGCAGCAACTGATATGGAAACACAGTTAGGGTATTATGTGTCTTTTATGAACATTTAAGATTATTATATCAGTAGCTACAGTTAATGAAATTGGTCTGCCAAGGTGATCCTAGTTTAACATTTGAATGGAGATGAAATGACTGAAATTTAGTTTGTTATTTATTCCACGTAATAAACTACTGATATACATAGTGAACATTTTTTTCTGATCTTTGATTTTCTTTTGGTGTTGGTACCGTATTATAAAACCTTTCTGGTCAAATAAAATACTGTATAACACCGGCCAACTTATATTCTCTGGCTAAACGTAATTTTATGGTTCATTGATACTCTGATAAGAGAGATAACTCTAAATGACATAAATGTCTATTATTCCTTTAAAGATTTGTCAGGTTTAAATGTTTCTTTGTGTTTAATTTTTCTCCGCAAACTATGATATAATTTTTGTATTTTACTTATAAAATACATTTCCTTCAGGAAGTCATGAAAGTTAAAGCAACATTTTATATGAGTGAGTAGAGGGTTTATGAACCTTAAAGCAAGGACACACATTTCAATGGTTAACTTTGCTGTCATGGCGCCAGTTAAAAATAAGAATAAGAAAGGTTTGTGTATAAGAAAAGGCAAAGGCAGTTCAACTTATTAAAAAAAGTTTCTCCTTCACTCTATTCGATCAATATTTGACATTATAAACTACCTGAATTTCAGTTCCTAGGCCCAATTCTCACAATAAAGATGCGTTTATTGTTCATTAAAATAGAAGGGCATGGTTTCACGTTTTGAAAGAAAGTACTGACGTAGTCGAATCATTTGCACCCTTCTTTGTACGATGGTTCTCAATTCTGCAGAAATGCATTAATCTAAAACAGTGACAGAAATAAAGGTGCTTTTGATATATCAATTATTATTTACTTCAAAAAGTATATTGACGGAGGAAAAGTAAATACATTAGCAATTTTAAACTTTAAATACATTCTGTTTATGAATACGACAGCATGGTCGATGGAATTTCTAATCGAATTAAGTGCTGTATATCTATCATTTTGAATGGAGAAAAGAATCAGTCGAGAAAAATGTCAGTAAGAAAACAGGTGCTTTAACACACATGCGTCGTTTTTACTTTACTTTCTTTTGAAAAATTTCCTTTGAAAATTTGTCAGACTTAACCGCTGATGTATAATTATCGAGCAAGAAGCTTAGCAAACTTTGATAAGTAAAAATAAAATGAAAAACTGAAATCAGTTAATTTTGAAAACAATCAAATGATGTATACAAAAACTTTTTGCTAAATCATAAAGCAGACTCTACTTTTTTAGAGTTTACATCCATAAAAACATCCAATTTTCTGCTTGAATTACTAAATCCAGAAGTAAAAAATGATTTAAAACGTTTACCGCTCCAAATTCAGTAGGTACAATGGAAAACTTCATTACCTGCCTTTGAATTTATGCGCATGCGTAAAGTTAACATACAATTCATGTAATCTAAAGGTACATGTATTTGACAGTGTTGAGAACTGCATCCGAGCTGTCAGTAGGCAATCAAAATCATATGAGCTTTATCCTAATGTCTTTATACAAACTATCCCAGTGGATTTATAGAATGATCACAGAAAGTAAGTTTATAATGACTTATTAAAATAATTTTAACTTTTCAAAGGGGTAATTTAACACCCTAATTTAATACTCGTTGACCAAAGTTAGAAATAAAACGCAAACTGCACTTATCTATATTTATTATCCGGAGTATGTTTTCATGATTAACGAAATTAGTTATGGAAAATTTGAATGTGGTTGTGATAATGGGATTAACATAGGGGTGAATTAAAAAAAAATGACCAAACGCATATTTATCAACCCACACTAAAAATACAGGCAATGAAAATAGATTTCTATGTCTCAGCATATGTCTTTAGATAGTGTCTAAATACCTGCCAAATATCTCGTTGATATCTCAATTAACAAAAAAGTTATGCCCAAAAATGATGCTAAAATTGTCAGGAGTGCAACACCTTTTTGTGACATTTTGAAATTTCAATATTTTTTGGAGATCTGTGAAATAAATAATAATGCTTTATGTTGAAAATAAAGACTTTCCTGATAATATTCAAAGTATTGAGCTTTAAATGTAGGCTGTAGTAACTTTTGTTTAATCAAGTTGTGGTCATGGTTGATGTTTAAAAAATGTTATACCATGTCAGGAGTGCAACAGAAAAAAATGTAGTGTTGACAAAAAAACATCAATTATAAAATTCTGAAAGAAAATTAAGACAAAAAAGAATTTTCGAAGTGTAAAACAATAACTGATATACATTTTAAAACGTTAAAATGTTATATAAATCACAAGCAGCATTAATTTGAGTCAAGTATAGGTGCATACCCAAAAATGTCAGGAGTGCAACATTTGATGTTTTGCTCCCAAGCATGAAAAAACTATTATCATTATATGATTTTCTGATTTTTATTTTGGAAAAGAAAGATACAAAGAACATTTTTACCAAATAGATTTATCAATTACAGGATCTATCTGTGCTTCAGATCTATATTTCTATGGTCAGGAGTGCAACACATTTTTTAAAGATTCAAGTTGTGTGACGAAAACACTTCTATTCATGCTTAGAAGTATTCATTAATTAATAATGATCTTTTTGTATAATTTAATACTAAATTATTGACAGTTTTATTATTAAAATCCTTCCTTTTTCAATTTTATCAATTCAGATGTGTTTTTATCTTTTTTGTGATTTTTTTAATGAATGTTAAAAATAAACACACTAAAAAATTGTCATAAAATTCAAATAATTCCTCCTCAACTTCACTGAAACAACAGAACAAGTTCTTATGTAATTTTCACTTCACAATTCTACTTTAAAGGTCCCAATGCTTTTGGTCAGGAGTGCAACAAATATGTTAGAATTATAAATCATCCAATAAGAATAAAAATAAAGAAAAAATGATGAGTAGAATTTTTCTGGTGGGTTACTGTGTTTGTCCTCTAAAGGAAAATATGCTATAAACTAGAGCCGAGCTCGTTGCAATGCAACGAATAGGTCTTCCGTCGGAGCTCCGGACAGAACATAGCGACCTTGAGTCAAGGTCATGCAACATCTTAAGGTTATAAACAATCCTGTAAGGGGCATCAACTTCCAATGTTTCAACAGTAGAAAGACAGTAAAAGAATGTAAAATTCCCCTGTCAGTGAACTTGAACTTGTCCAAATAATCGTGCGTCAAGCCAGGACACATTCTGCAGCTGGTTAAGAGCAAACACCATCTGTATGTCATCGACAAAAAAAAATCACAGTCACGTATTCTTTCAGACTATTCATCCAAAACATGATATTCTAAGTGACCTCGAATTTAAGTCAAGGCCATTACACACTTTGGATGATATATTTATCATCTTTTCAGTGAAATGCAAATGCATGCAATTTTTTCTATTACAAAATTAAAGACCTTTTTGTTTGTTTGTTTGTGTGTATGTTGTTTAACGTCCCTCTCGAGAATTTTTCAATCATGTGGAGACGCCACCATATTTGCCGATGGAGATCTGCAAATTTTGACCTATACTCGGCACTCATGGCCATTGAACAGTGAAGGATCTTTTTCGTGCCAGCACCTACTGCCAGACGGGACTTCAGTTTATACGGTCTCATCTGAAGGATCGGTCTCTGCGTCCCATAGTGGGATTCGAACCTGCGACATAAGGATCAACTCCTTAATCCACGACTCTAGAGGAGACACTCTTACCACTGCGCCACGTGGGCGACTAGACCTTTTTGAATTTTACACTTATTATATCAGTGACCATGAACTTGCCTAAATGACCTATTTTAAGGTCAAAAACAACCTTTGAACTAATTATGAGCTTCCAGTGATACTCTATGACCAAGATATGCCTGAAAAAGAATATTGCACTTTTCTGTCAGTGACCTTGAACTTACCAGAAAGACCTTGGATCAAGGTCAAAACACATCCTTGGATCATAAGCAATCTCTGTATCAAGTAATAGCTTCCAGTGATTTTATATTACAAAGTTATAGTATGGAAAAAAAATTAATATTTATCTGCCAGTGACCTTGAACTTGCGGGAAAAACCTCTATTCAAGGTCAGGACAAACCCATCTCAAGCAATCTGAGAAAAAGTTTCCTGTGTTCCTCCCACCCCTTATAAATTTATAATCCAGGCACGAGTTTTGCCACTTCTTCTGCCAATCTAGTACTATGTTATCTCAAACCGGTGGATCATAAGCAATCTTTGTTCCTAGTATGAGCTTCCAAAATTATAGCACATACAGTAATCTTACACTTTTCTGTCAGTGACCTTGAACTTACAGGAATGACCTCGAATGAAGGTCGTGGCAAACCCTTTTTGTCATAAGCAATTCCTGTATCCAGTGAGCTTCTGGTGACTCTCTATTACAGATAAATGAGTCGGACAAAACTTTGCTATTTTTTTAAAGTGACCTTGAACTTGCCGGAATGATGTTGGATCAAAACCATGACACACCCTCGGATCATTAGTAATCTTTGTACCAAGTATGACCTTCCAGTTTCTTCATAACAAAGTTATATCCTGGGCAAACTATCACGTACAGACGGACAGCTAGGCAGACGGACAGTGATTCCAAGACTCAAAACACCCCTACCCCAAACCAACACACTTCGTTTGGGGGGATATATAAATTCCTATGTTAAATTATGAACACTCTTTCCGGCCCAAACCTTCTCCCTGGAATCAAGATTTGAAAAATAAAATGAATGTATGCTATGTTGGAAATTTTCTCATTTTAGTCCAGGGGTTCTTGAGAATACTATTTTCAAATGACCCCATGCGCGGATCTAGAGGGGGTTTGGGGCAGTTAAATGTATATACAAAAGCAAGTAAAAGTAACCATCCCCCCCTAGAAAACGCAGACCCTTCCTCGATAACGCGGATCTGTGTTAAAATGGTATGAAAAGTCTTAGGTATGAAGCTTTAAAAGTCAACGACCCCCCCCCCCAAAGCACACAAACACACACACGAAATAGGTTTTTCACGTTTGTGAAAAGAATTTCTTTTTTTTTTTTTGGCTCGTCAAGAAATTTCTGGGTTGAAATATTTTTTTATTGGGATCCCCTCCCCCCCTCCCCC